TGTCCCAAGCAGCCACCAGTCGCCTGGGAGGGCCTATAAAAGGGAAAGCAGACACTCACCAGCCACGTCCAAAAACTCAGAAAACGTTTCCACTGGCATGAACTCCTCCTGGAAGGTTTTCAGGGCCCTGTCTGCAGCCTCGTGGATCGGCATGTCGTTGTGGCGGATGAACTCAGCCAGAGAGTAGGACCAGCCCCCCTCTGTGTTACTGGTAGGCACCTTCTGCAAGAGAGGAAAATGGGACCAAATCAGTTCAAAAAAGGAATTATTGAGAGGAATCAACTGAAAAAACTGATCTTGGACTTGCTCTTGGAGCTGAATCCCTTTGTTCTTGGACCTGAATCCCCTTGTTCTTGGAGCTGCATGCCCTTGTTCTTCGACCTGCAGCCCCTGCATCTTGTAAACAAGTCACACAGAGAAAGTGACCCCCTATGTGACTTTATAATTTTCTTATAATGTAAAAAAGGTCACAGGTATTTTTTCCCCTTAATTATTTAACCCTTTTTGGGAGCCACAAGTTTGTTTCTGGTGGCTGCTCCTACCTCCTTCCTTACCCACCTGCTCCCTGGTGCAGCTCTGAAGGTTCCTGGTTCAGTGGACAGAAAAAACAAGCAAACAGAGAGCACAGGAGGAGTGCTGCAAACTGGGAAGGTCTCTCCATCCATCAGATACCAGACCACAAGGGGCACAATAAACCTCTTGCAGCAATTCTGCTCAGACATGAAGTTTTTACAAGGACCTTGGAGAATGGGGCTCCAGACTCTGCCTTCTGTGTCAGATCCAGGTAGCTGCTCGGGGTAGGAAGCTGACAGAGGTGAACTTCAATGTTTTTTCTCACCTTGAACATGTTGTAGATGAGGTCTACCAGGGCCCAGAAGAGAAGGCCAGAGCGGTAGGTTGCATATTCCTTCACTGCCTTGTCTGCCAGTCTGGGGAGAGAATGAAATCAGCCCTGGGGTTACTTTGCTGAGCTTTGGTAACTCATTTGATGAATAGCATGAAAGCTCAAACAGCCAAAAAGCCCATCAATAAGACACATGGGGATGGCCTGGAGTAAGCTTTGCTGGGTGCTCTGGGACATGAAACACTGGGCACCCCTGATTTCTGCAGGCTGGGGGAGTGGGGGATTGAGGGGAGAGACCTGGGGGTGCTGGGGGATGAAAAGCTCAACGTGAGCCAACAACGTGCCTGTGCAGCCCAGAAGCCAACAGCACCCTGGGCTGCATCCCCCAGCAGGTCAAGGGAGGGGATTCTCCCTCTCTGCTCTGCCCTCATGACACCCCACACCAGGGTCTCATGGGCTGCATCCAGCTCTGGAGCCCCCAGCATAAGGACATGGACCTGCTGGAGCAGGGCCAGAGGAGGCCACAAAGATGATCCAAGGGCTGAAAGCTCTCTGCTTTGAGGCCAGGCTGAGAGTTGGGGTTGATCAGCTGGGAGAAGAAGAGGCTCCAGGGAGGAGGCTCCAGGGAGAAGAGGAGGCTCCAGGGAGACCTTATTGTGGCCTTTCAGTACTTAAAGGTGGACTACAAGAAACCTGGAGAGGGACTTTTTACAAGGGCTTGTAGTGACAGGATGAGGGGTGATGGTTCCAAACTGCAAGAGGGGAGAATTAGATTAGAAATTAGGAAGAAATTCTTCACTAGGAGGGTGGTGAGACCCTGGCCCAGGTTGCCCAGGGAAGCTGTGGATGCTCCATCCCTGGTTCCAGACCAGGTTGGATGGGGCTTGGAGCCACCTGCTCTAGTGGGAGGGGGCCC